AAATTAAATGTATTATGTGGTCCAAAAAAAAAAATATTCTTCTCCATCTTAGTCCTACTTCTGAGATACTTCTTATTTACCATTAAATGAGATTTCAAAAACTCTGATTGTAAGTCCAGAAGGAAAAACAATGAACCTATTTTCAGAAATATTAGCAACTAAAAAATCAAAATTCCATTACTATAATTGTTCTGTAGTTTGTAACTTTACAGATTTAGAGTACTTAGCTGATAATATGATAATGATACTGGATATGTTCCTTAAAGGCCTGTTAAAATTTATCAAGACAATTAACAATTGTTCATATAACAAGTTAGAAAAAAAATAAGCATTCTAATATATATGTAACTTCACTACAAAGCCATGAATCCCATTTAATTTTTCTGAGGTTTATATCAGTTTATTTTCCTAAAATCAGATCATTTGTAAGAAATCTTTTTAAAATACAAGAGCACATCAAGGCAATTATTGATATTGATTTAGCTATATCTTCTGGAAACATTGAAAAACTTACCAAAATGTGTTCTCAACAAAAGTCAGAAGCAAAATAATAGCTACATTCAGGAATATATTGCCAATAAGCATTCTAAATAAAATTCCTTACATTGATACACCATCAGTTTTGAAATGTTTAAATGAATATGAAAACATTTTTGATACAAAGAGCAAAGTCATTTCAAATGGTCACAAGATTAAGTCATATGGCCAATAAAAACATGCCATATCACTCACTTATCCAAAATGTGAAAGGTTAAACATTTCATTTACAACTTCTTTTGGATGAGACATTGAAGAAATTATCTGAAGTCTCTGATCCTCTCAATAAAAACACCAAATTATTTATATTGGTAAAAGAATTACAAATGACGAAAAGAATTGTTTGGAAAAATGTAGTCAATATTAACTAAATTTACTCTACTTTAAATAACTTAAAGAAAACAATCTTCTTCTTTGAAATAGTTTTATTCTATTCATTTACCAAATGAGCCCAAACACTTACTGTTACTGTTGAGTACTGACAAAGAGTTCACAGAGTAATCTTTTCAAAACCAGGACCTTCTAACTCAAAAATGAAGTTCAGATGAGTTCTATTAGCATTTTATGATTCAGCCATTTTACACTGAAAGGGAAAGCTTTAACTGATCATCAATTTATCAAATGTTCAAAATCAATGCAGTTCCAATAAACTATACTGCTCCAGATTAGGATTTGAGATGTTTTTCTGATCTTTTTCCTTATGACAAATATAAAAAAACAAGAAGAAAGAAAGACCAGTACATTTAACACTGTGAGATGTTTCAAAAGCTGTTTTAAAATCAAAAATTTTACAATTTAACAGTATTTATTTCATTTATTGAATGAAGCTACAGTGAGATGATTAAGAAGTGGAATTTTTCTTAAGCTTAATGTATGCAAATTTAAGAAAATGACAGCAAAAGAATGTCTTGAAAAAAATAAGTAGTGAAGAGTTAGAAAAAAATTTGTCCACAATTTTTCATCAGCTAAGAAACATTGGATCATACTGGATAATGCCAAGGAACAATATAGAAACTATGACTCGGGAGTATGGTCCAACTACATGATTTCTTACTTTAAGTCCTAGTAAGTGGAATTGGAATGATTTAAAAAGTTAGTTACAAGAGATTAACAAACCAATGTCAATGGTAAATCAATTTCAGAAGTGGTTACTCTTGATCCTATTTCCACTTCCAGATTTATAAATCAAATATTTAAAGCCATGTTAGCATTTATAAATTCAAATAACTAACCATTAAGTTTGATTAGTCATTACTTTTTGAGATGAGGTATTCAACATTTTCACTTCATACTTAATACTATGAGTGAAAAATGCTTCAATCATTGATGTTAACACCCCTGAAAAGTTCCAGAATTTATAACCAAATATGTCACAGGCAAAATACCAAATAAGATAACACATTCTATGATTTATAAAACAGTTACACAATATCAACAACATTCTTGCAATTCTTATTGTCAGCATAATAAAAAAAAAACAAATAAAGACATAGTTAAAATATGTAGATTTAGTTTCCCTCAAACAGTGACTACAAATTTTGTGCTAAAGGATGTTGCAACAAGTATTTGGGGAAGATAAATCTTAAAATCTACGTGTAGATTACAGTAGAGCGTCGTTTATCCAAAAGTTGGTTATCCGAAAGAATTCCAGTCGGCAAATTTAAATTTTCGCTAGTGCTATGGTGCTGCAATCTGTGGCTATATCTTGGGCTACTCCAATATTTTTTTTGTTGATGTGTGTGTTTTAGCTGGCAGCACTGGCACTTTTGTGTGATGTTTTTCTGAGGACTGTGTGTCGTGCTGAATTGAATGTTTTTGATACTAGATTAACTTATAAAGTATAATTTTTTTGTTTTTATATTTTTCAATAGAAATAATTTTTAACGATACAATAGCCACAATTATTATTTTAAAAAGTTTACATTAAGCTTAACATCGACGAAAATTCAACGCGAAGCGACACGCAACAGAGAAAAATTTCAACATGGGATAGGTTAATATGTTTTTTTGTACATAATCAGTTATCTGAAAAATAAGTAATCCGAACAACCCCAGTCCCCAATTGATTCGGATAAACGACGCTCTACTGTATACGATCTACCTAGAACAAATTTCAAAACCATAATTAATGATTATAATGAAGTTATAATGATGGCTTGGGTAGGAAACATGGACAACAGTGAAAAATCAGCTTCATTAATTCATTATATCACCAAATATACTACAAAATCAGAAAAAAGTCATGCAAAGGAAATTTTCAGGCAATCAATTCAGTGACATTCTTACATTCAAGATTATGGAACTTTGCTTTTAGAGCAACATCCAACTATGAATGTGGTGCTTTAGAAGCAACTGATACCCTGTAAGTTCATTCATTACATGGCCTGAACAGACATATCAATATAAAGTTGTTAGATGTAAATATAATCAGACCAAGAAAACAAACCTCATGTTGAAATTCGAAGACTTGACCCTGAGTCAACTGATCTGTTTTTTTCAAAATATGACAAACTTATTATCCAAACTGACCAACTGAATTTGAGGATATGCTTTTATATGATTACTTCCTTGGTTTAAATGAGTTAAAATCAAACCTAATCAAGCATTTCATAAGATTGAGGATGTTTTCACGAAGAAACATTCATCTCCATATCTTGGTAGTCATGCAAATTTTCACAATGAAAAATCACTTGAAAAATACTATTACACACTTCTTTTTATGTTTAAGCCTTGGAGAAATTCTGAAGAACCGAAAAATGGTTATACCACTCATTTTGAAGCTTTTAATTCTCGTAAAGACACTCTTATTGCTTTGGTGTATCATGATTGCCTCTCAGACATTATCAAAGCAAGTGAACAAATGTTAAAATTAATTGAGAAAAAAGATTTTAATGTTTGATAATAAATCTATACTCATAGCATGTTTTTCACAAAGTGTATTTAACAAGTGTGCACCAATAGACATTATTAATGTTATGCATGAATTTCATGAATTAATTGCTTCTTCAGATATTGACATAAAACAATGATACAGAATTTAAATTCAGATCAAAAAAAAATTTTTGACAATGTTTGCACTTATTTAACTTCCAATCAATGTGTTTTAAAACAGTTTGTGCCTGGAGTAGGTGGTATTGGTAAAAGCTACTTAATTAAAACAATCAAAGCCAACAATCTTTACCAAAACTTTAGGCAAAAATGTAGCAATAACAGTACCAACAGGTATTGTAGCATTTAACATTGAAGGTATGACTTCAATGTTAGATGCTACAACACAGGCTTTTAGAACTTCTGGTTGAACATGGTCATAGTGCTTCATATAAAGCATTAAGCAATCAAGTTCTTAAAGTTCTAAGGTTTGAATTGAGAAATGTGATTTTATGTATAATTGATGAAGTTTCAATGTTAAATAACATGATGCTTTCATTTATACATCTTTGACTGACTGAAATATTGAGTTCATTTGATGAAAGTAATGGTTGGTTTGGGGGTAGGCATCTTTTATTATTTGGTGAACAACTATCTCCAGTCCAATGGCAATTAGTAAATGATGCACATTGTAGTATATGTAAAGCACAAAACATATTTACAAAATCTGAACTAGTAAGTGCTAACAAATTATTATTCATAATATGTATTTAGAAATGAACAAGAAAAATTAATCAAATTTGAAGGTCCAATAAAAAGAGTCCCAAACTGTAGCATTGTAACAGACAACCTGTGATTATAAATTTTTAATCAGTAATATTTCACCTTGGTCATCAATTGCAAAGTGGGCATTACACTTGTATGTTTAACGAAAATAATGAATGGACAGAATGCAATGATACTGTTGCAAAAAAGTAAATGGCCACACAATCTGTACATAGTTATTCTTAGAAAAGCTTAAATATAACAGTTTATGATTTTTTGAAATTAATAAATAATATATTATAATGAGAGTATTTGTATTTCTTTCAGAATAAAAACACTTTTGAGCCTTCATTAACCCAAAAACATCTGAGATGGTAAAAAAGTTGCACAAGGTAAAAACTTATGACAATTCAGATGACAGTCAAAATTTTTCTTAGGAGTTTTTCTTTGGTAAAGAGGAGCTTGGTGCTGGGAAGCAAAATTTAGAAAGGATTAATACAAGTGTAAATCTTGTGGGTACCACTTCAAAGTGCCAAGCTTATCTTTACCAAAGAAAAACTCCTAAGAAAAATTTTGACTGTCATCTAAATTGTCACAGGTTTTTACTTGGCACAATTTTTTACATCTCGGATGTTTTGCTAGGATATAACAAAGAAATTACAGAACACAAATGATTAACTGATGAAACTTTTATTTTTATGTAACATTTGTTCAAATATGCAGTATATAAAAAAGCTGTCATATACTTTGATAGTATTTAACAATTTACTTTATGTTTAAAGATTAATTTTAAAAAATTGAGAAAATAAGAATAAAATTACTCTACTTACCTGCCTTGAGGAGTATCATTTGGTCCTCCAAAGGTAACTCCGTGAAGTGAGGAATGTGTTTGGCCCACTCCACCAGTTGATACAACTGTCGGTCAGCTGCCTGGCATATATTAATCACAGGATCATTCTGTAGTAGTAAATATACAGTATATTGAAGTTATGCTAATTTTATAATATAAATTTAAAGAGTAAGCCCATATATATTTACAGTTCTCCCTTAATTATTTTGGAAAGAAAGCATGTAGTCCCAGTATCTGTCAGCAAGCTTTTCTTTATTATGTTAAATAAAACAAATTTTTATGTGAATGTTAGTATATAGTAGCTTGTGCGTGTCTCTTCTTTCTTTTATTTTAATGAATATTTTAAAAGAAACACAAAAATTTATAATAGCCAAATATATCTAAAACCCAAATTATTTTTGGGCTGGAATTGAGCTAATTATTAATTAATTAAATTACAAAATTTGATTTGAATGTAGGCAATTAAATTGCTTTCTTGCATTCTTCTTCTTAATGCACCATCTCCTGTCGAAGGTTGGCGATCCATATAGCTAACATTGTCCTCGATATAGCAGCTTGGAATATCTCCATAGATGTACACCCGAACCACCTTGTGATGTCTTTCAACCATTGATTCTTTGGTCTTCCAATAGACCTTTTTCCTTGTATTTTGCCCTCTAATATTAGTCTAAGTATTTGATATTTCTCTCCTCTGATTATATGACCTATGTACAGTACTGTGTTTTCCTGATTTTGATGGTCAGCAGGAGTTCTTTTTCTTGTTCATGTGGTTCAGCACTTCAACATTAGTAATCCTTTGCACCCATGATATTCGAAGTATTCGTCTATACAAATACATTTCAAAAGCTTTGATTCTTTTCTCAGTTTGGGGGTCCAGAGTCCAACTTTTGCATCCATATAGCAGGACAGAGAAGATGTAGCACCTTAACATTCAAATCCTCAGACATAAACTCAATTTGGATCTAACAAAAAACTTTTTCATATTTATAAACGATGTTCTGGCTTGTTTGATCCTTGCTCTTATTTCTTTACACTGATCACATTGTTCGTTTATTATTGTGCCGAGGTATTTGAGAGATGATACTTGATTGATAGTATTCCCGTGAATGACAAGATTTGCACTTTTTCTTGTTTTTGAGAACAAAAGAAGTTTGGTTTTGATAAAATTCATAAAGAGACCATGCAGTTCACTGTACTCGACAATACGGTCCATCAGTTGTTGTAATTCTTCTTGCATTAACCTTAATAAATTAGAAATCACTTCTGAACTTTAATTAAATAATTTATAAATTGGCCCAGATCAGGACTTGAAATTGCAATTCTTGTTTCCTATGCAGATATTTTACTAGTTTCTCTACTTGGACTCGGTCTGATCACCAATTACAAACCTATATTGTTAGATCATATAACATTACAGGTTATAGTCACTGCATAATTTCATTTAGGCTAAATTCAATAATTTAATTAATTAAAAATTAGCTTAATTCTACCCTGAAAATAATTCAGCTTTAGATATTTTTGGCAAATGTAATTTCTTTCAAATATTAAAATTTATTAATGCATATTATCAGATTTTTTTAATGAAATAATTATCTAATTTATAAAAAAATATATTTTATTGTAAAATAAAAAGACAAATCTCTAACTTTAAAAATTTCAATTAAATTAAATCTATAAATTTGATTAATTTTCAATATAATATGTTCAATTTTATTATTGTAACAATTAAAATCTTTCTGATTTCAATTCTTTACAGTTCATATCAATTTGCAATGTTAGAAAAATAAAATTATTTTATTATTATTGCATATAAACAATGTTTAACTGAAGTAATAACAAAAAACTACCACAAATTCAAACATTTTTGTTTAATCATCAATCTTCAAGCATCACAAAAATAAACATTTTGCAAAATGAAATTGCTATGAATGTGGTATACTGACGTAGAAAAATTTTCTTTAATTAAAGTAATTTAATAATGTGTTCTTTTAATATATTAAGTAATATTTTCACACTTTTTCCTTTGAGGAGAACAGATATGTTTAATTTTGTTAATGCAAAGCTTGTACTTTGTATGAATTTTATAGTAACGTTGAAACAAAATTGCAATTACTTTCATCCAACCAGACTTCTTCACACTTTCAAATTACAGAACATGTTACTTTATTTTATATTTTGTATACGTGCAACAGCTCTTTCCATAAATAAATAATAATGATGGTTTTACATACTTTGTATTTATTCTATGTTCTATTTGAAAGTAAAAAAGTTGTTCTTCAATTTGAAAGCTTGAAGAAGCCAAACCAGTTAGGTGAACATCCAGTAATCACAGTTTTGGAATTAAGGCTATTTGGAATATAGTTTTGTTTTATTATTTTGTATGTGAATTTTATTGTAAAAAAACTTTTGTTTATACAAGACATGTTTAAATTTAAAATAAGAATGATGTATTATAAAATTAGAAGATTTAAAAGATATGAAAGAAATAATTATTTTTTTCATACCAGATTCTTATCAGATAAAAGTTTAAGAGCATTGTCTATTGGCATGTACAGAATGTCTTCTTCATTCAAAATGAAAACAAATTTTAGAACATTAATTTGTTCTAATAGGAATGTACAGTACATGTTAAAATTAAATAGTGAACTATTAAAATTATATGCTTAATTAATGGTCAAACTAAAATTGAAAAATAATCATGGCTAGGATTTATTTTTTTAAATTATTAAATAGTGAAACCCATGTTTTCGGGAGCTCTAGAGTGGGCTTATTACACGGCTCCAATTTCTCAATACATAATGTTTCCCAGGTGAATAAACAGTTGCAGTCCTCACATTGTATGAGGATGGAAGATTCATTCCACAGGGTTGTAATGATTGAGAACATTTCTAGATAGTTCTGTGGAAATTCTATTATTGCAAATGTCATCTTGATGTTCTAATATACAGCTTTGCAATTTCTAGTTGTGGCTCCAATATATCACTTTTTTCATAGTGTTGAAAGTGCTTGCAAGATATTTTGTATTTATTTTTGTTCTACACAACAAAACCTTATTAACACCAATAGACTGCTCTTATACTTTTATCTGATCCAAAAGGTTGGAAGAAAAAAATTTTTTAAAGTTTAAGTTTCAAGATGTTACTTCTGAGATATAAGTACACCTGCTTTGCAAACTGTTCTTTTATGTGATGCCTAAAGATGATTAATTGGCCAAAAATATTACATTCTAATCTATTAATTTTCTAGCTGAGTTTATAAGTTCTATACTAATGGCATTGTTCTATATTTAGAATGTATTTTACAAAAATATTTGCATGTTTTCTCCCTCTAGTGCTTCAATTAAACAGTTTGTTTGTTTATGTTTATTTTTTGAAGTGTTGATTGTTATATATTGTAATTATTTTTCAAATATATTTATATTATAAACTAATTACATTTGTTTCAATCTCTTCATTTTTTGGTTCAACTCGTTTCTCTGCATCTAAAATCCTCTCTATTGGCATATCACTTTGCGTACTACTTGTACTTTCAACTTCATTTTCATATTTTTCCTTGTTGCGCTGTCTTTCTTCTTGAACAGCTAAAACCAATTTAAAAAACATTCTAACATTAATATTTACTTCATAATTAAAAGTAATTTTCAATTGAACCTAAACAGAAATTAAGTAATATTTCAAAAGAATATACAAAAGTATATAATACCATTAAGAACATATAATCAATCAAAAATGTTTCATAATCTGTTTCCATTTAAATGATTTATCTTTTTTGGAAATCTTACACATGATATATTCTATATACTGTTTATTTAACTATATCAAAACATGCATCTAAAAGCTGGATTATTTTCAGGCTGAAAATAAACTAATTAAGCTGTCTTGTGCTAAGGTCAATAATTATAAATTTTTGAAACACAACAAAAAAAAAAAGAATATTTTACTTATTTATTAAAAAGATTCTGGAAAAAAAATCAACACAGAACAAGACTCATTTTGCTAATCATGCATATATCCATTTAATTAGTTTATTCTAGCCTGAAAGTAACTTGGATTCTATTAATATTAGGTTTTTGTGTAATGCAATGGTTTTCATATGGACATATTGAGAACCTTTACATTAAACTATAGTGGTGTAAGATTATGCAAGTCCTAGGCAAATTTGGACTCATAAGAGCTATTTTATATAAGTTTACTAGGAATGGAGCTCCTCACTGTGATCCATTCTCAGCATTTCATATTGTTTTGCAACATTCTCAACATCAGTACTATTTAACCAAGGCTGTGGAGTCGGTAAAAAAGCACTCGACTCTGACTCCTGATAATTTTAGTAGACCAACTCTGACTCTGGCAAAAATTAAATACCAAGTCATTTTATGGGGGGCAGAAGCACTCATAAGGGTATTCTACTCTAAACTCTAAAAGGAGCTCTGGGCATTACCCAAATACTTTTATAGTAAGCTGTTTTTCAAGCTCCGACGGTTCATAAAAAAAAAAAAAAAAAAAAAAAAAAAAAAAAAAAAAAAAAAAAAAAGAGACAAGTGTAAATAACAAAATTAATTTATTACCGAAAGTTAGGTACAGACATGGTTACTTTTCGACATAATCACTGTGAAGATTGAAGAATTTGTTATATATGTGGATGAGCTTTTCCATCTGTTTGTCATAGAATGTTGCTGCCAATGACTTGAGATGGGCCTTAATGTTGTTTTGAAGATTATCATTAGTCTCGAACCACTGCCCTTCTAGCCACTTTTTCTGTTCAGGAAAGAGATGGAAATCGCTCGGCACTAAATCGGGACTATAAGCTGGGTGTTTAACGGTGTTGAAGAATTCCACCCAGCTTGGAACTTTTTAATGTGTGAAGACTTCCATCTCTTTCCTGAACTGAAAATGTGGCTAGCAGGGCAGTGATTTGAGACTAATGAATTAATGACAATCTTGAAAACAACATTGTTAAGGCCATCTCAATTCACTAGCAGCAACATTCTATGACAAGGGGATGGAAAAGCTCGTCCACAGATATGACAAATGCCTCTATCTTCATGGTGATTATGTCAAAAAGTAACAATGTTTGTATCTAACTTTTGGTAATAAATTCATTTTGTTATTTACACTTGTCTTTGTTTTATGGACCATTGGAGCCTGGAAAAAAACCACCCTTGTAGTTAGTATTTTTAATATTTAACTTACATTAATATTTATTTGTATAAAAAACTTAATTTTTAACAAATATTTAATAAGAGGAGAAAGGGGGCGATAAAATTCTAAATCTACATATATTCAACAGCATTTGCACTTCAATTTTATTCTTCCACAATAGTTAGTTCAATTAAAAAGTTTGCAATGTAGCTATGTCAGCCCCTTGTTCAGAAAAGAAAAATATGAACTATGATCAATTAGTCTGGCTCATTCAGAAAAATAGAGTACTTATTTAGAGCAGGGATAATAAAGAAATGATTCCAAAATATTTAAATTCAATTGGGTCAAAATAATTTTACTACTAAACACAAATACTACAAAGAACACTACATATTTAATAAATTAAATTGATCTATTTTGTATTTAAAATAAATGAATTATTACAAAATATAAAAAGATTTTTAAAAATTAATAAATATATAATAAATTTTCTTTCGTTTAAATAAAAAAAACTAACAAATTTAAAATGCGGGAGTCTGAGTCGACACATTTTTTCCGACTCCGACTCCTCTGGCCAGAAATTCCTCCCAACTCCAACTCCACAGCCCTGTATTTAACAGTAGTATGTAGTGACATTTGATGATAGGAAAGCTGTGCTGCCCTGGATGGAATCATTGGAAGCATTATGCGATATTTTGGTATGTAGTATCCACGAGCTAAACTGTGTGAGGTTGGTGCTCTGTAAAGCACATGTGCGAATGCATATAATCTGGCTGATTTACACAATTTCTTCATCATAGAAGTTGTCCCGTATTCAACAATATGGCACTTCCATTGAGAATATGCATATATGAATTCATATTCGAATATACAATATCAATTTTATCATTGTTTTTCATATGTACAGTACATAAATTTGTAATAAGATACATAATGTGGTTATAATAAAATATTAATTTTAATTAATTCAAAGTATGTTAAAATATGAAAATAATTGCATAATATGTATGTATATTTTAGAAAATACAAGGAAAGTTGTGCTTCCACAGCATCCATGGATGGCATGCTACTGCTATTTAATAATACTTTATATAAAAAATATTAGTTTTGTTTGTACAGCAGAGCATTGATTATACAAAACAATTCAGGACTGGGTTGTTCGGATAACTGATCATTTACAAAAAATATATTAACACAAAACTGTACTGTATATAATTTGTATCACACGTCTTACAAATACATGCCTTACATATAGTAGTACATTAAAGTAGGCCTACAGTTTACATTGGCAGGGAGAGGGAGAGTGCTGCAGCACCACAGCACTAGCAGAAATTTGAATTTGCTGACTGGAATGCTTTCTGTTAACCGATGTTTCAGTTGATCAGTATTCGGATAGTCTATGCTCTACCGTATGTACGTGTATATGTGCATGCACATATATGCAAGCATACGCACACACCATGGTATTCTATAAATGTTAAGGGTTGAAATTTGACCATGTTTGGCCTAATTTATTTAACTTTTTTCAGATTTCATATTTTTCTACTAATGTACCAAATATCTCCTTTCAACTGTACTATTTCATTTTTCTATGGCAAGTCTGTTTCTATTCAAACCTTTCATATCAGTAAGTAAATGAATCACAGAGACCAATACAGGTTTATTATATTAAATATAATGTGAAAAGCCCATGTCACATGATACTCGATAATGTACAAGATCTTGCATCCTAGTTAATACTGGAGCAAAACCAAGTATTGATAAGCATATAATTTATACAAATATTAGGCTTCTAAAAATATAAGCACTATACAAATGCCTAAGATACATCTGTCTAAAACTACCACTGAGTATTACAACAACATGGATAACATGTCATAATAATATATGTTATTTTATAACTATTATTTATTTATAATTTATTATACCTATATAAAAGCTACAAATTAATATATGAGGGATGATCAGAAAATAAAAATACAAAGCCTGTAAATTCCAGTAGACATTTATTAGATGAATACAAAGTGACTCACGTGAAAGGCTACTACATACATTACTTCCGAATATAGTTTCCCCATCCATTCAGGCACTTATCTCAGCACTTCATGATGCCCATTTAACAGAAATTGAGGTCCTGCACTTGAAGTAAAGCCAAGTCCTTACTTTATCCTGCAATCCTCATCTGAGTGAGACCAGCATCTTCTGAACTATTTCTTCAGAAGAGCAAAGAGATGGTAATTGATCAGAATGAAGTCCATGCTTCATGCTAAATGTTAAAACACATCCTACCCAAAACCTGCAAGGACATCATATGTGGTGACAGCTGTATGTGGATCCACATTATTGCAATTCATTACTATTCCCCCACACTAAATAAATTTACAATGAAATTTTCCTTAGTGGCACAAGTTTTGCTCACAGAAAACAAATAACAGATCACTTCTCATGTATCCAGGGCCCATATTCTGGTCACCGTCTCTGGTCTCTCGTCTCTCACAAGCTGGTCGCTGATTGGCTAATCCAAATGATTAGCCAATCAGCGACCAGCTTGTGAGAGACGAGAGACCAGAATATGACCCCAGCTCTCTAAGTGGGTTGGTACTTTACATGCCTCATCCAGTTCAACAACTGTACACACTTGTTACAGGTTTGCAAATCACAATGATTTAGTGGTTTGCAACCCTCCAAAATTATGATTATGTTGGAGAGTTGCAAATTATGTTTGCAGTAGGTAATCCATAAACAAAAACGAAAAAGTAAGAGCAAATCTTGTATTCTTGTTTTCCAATCATCCCTTGTTTTTTTAAAAAATTTAGACACATTTAAATAGCTAATTATCATAGTTTTTATTACATTTTATATTTATAGACATTAACCTACTAATTACATACAATTAACAAAACACAATACAATTTATTACTTATAAATATTAATTCAGTGCAATAAATTAAATATATTTCTTATAATGTTAATATAATCTTGTAAAAAAAAAAGTTGAAAGAATATTCTACACCTTTTTAGTGCCAAATTTTTACTGAAAGCATTTGTGAAAAATGCCAATTTTCTGAAATTAATACTTAACTTATAACTGACAGTAATTTGACAGAAATATTTATAAATATTATAATAGTTCATATATATAATTTAATAAAATAATTAATTAAAAAATTATCTCAAATATGTTTTCAAATTTTGAAAAAAAATGTCATTATTCATTTTAATTAAAACTTAAATTGAGAAAATTTGGATTCCTTAAGATGTATAAATTCTCAAAACATGTAAAAAGTACTTTTACTTTTGGAATTTTTAAGCCTCAAAATTTTGAGAATGGAGCTAAAAGCTTTAAAAAATATTTATGTAATGTTATATTAAGATTATTTCATTTTAACTAAAGAATCTTTTTACATGTTCTTAAGAATTCATATACATTCAATTCTGATTTTACATGAACTATTTTATATGATTTTTATTTAAAACTTCCGGAAAAAAATTCAATTCTCTTTTTACATAATTTGTTTCAATCTAACACATTTCAATAAATTTGCCTTTTAAAAAAAATCTTTATTTAATTTTAAGAAAAAAATATTTATACTTTCTTTTCCAGAAAGTTGTTCCTTCTTAAAAATAAATTTATAATATTTGCATTTAAGGACACGCTTCAATAAATTTTATGCTTTGGCTGGTTTTTATTAATTATTTGAATACGTGTAGCAATAATGGTAGTGTCAAGGTAACAAGAAGCTAAGTACATAAACAAAGACAGTCTGTTTTACATGAAATTGACTATGTCATTGGTTTGCATACTTAGCTCCTTACCACCTAGCTTGTCCAGTCAGTCTTTAAATCCAACATTATCTGGCAATTGTAGCAGTCAGAAACATTTAAGTTTGACGATTTGATTGTACAATTGCAGAATAGTTTTTGTATGCCACTTGGTGTTAAAAGCTAGAAGCATTTGGTGTTTAATTGAAAAAGTCAAATGAAAAATAAAATTTACACAAATAATATAAATTTATTGAATTTTGCTGATAAGTAAGTTACAATTGTCCTGTCTCTCATTTTGCTTAGACAACTGCTCTTATATTAATTAGTTTATCATATTATTTTACCAGTTTAAAAGCCACATTCTTATAACATCTGGAACCAATCTTCTATTTTTTCCATGTGAACAGAATTGTTTTTACTTGGTTTTTATTTTTCTTGCACTGATTTTTTGGGTATGTATCTACCATCTAAAATGGAATTTGGTTTACTATTATTCAAGCAAAACATAAAAATAATATTTTATTGAAGCCAAAATAGTTAAAGCATAAAATATATGGTAAATTCAAACTTTAGAAGTTCAAAATTTTGATAAATAAATAAATCAAATCACCGCTCATTTCAAGAACCCATTCCAGAAGAACTCCATCCTCCACCAGAGGATTTCAAAAACTCCAAGTGAATAAAAGAACGTTAATGTTTCTAAAAAGATTGGAATTAATGCTACATTCCTATAAGCATAGGCATTATATGCTAAAACAAGTATTAATTAAAGAATGGGACTCCAATAAGAATTTTAAAACAGTTGTGTATATATATATACACACACAAAATTCTTATTGGAGTCCCATTCTTTAATTAACACGTGTATGGTAAGTCAACATTGTAATATTATTACTATACAGGATGCAAATAAAATTAACAATACTTGAATTTGTTTATCAAGTTCCTTCACTCTTTATATAGATGTTAATATTGAAAATTACCTAATAAAAATTTTATTTTCTAAAATTTATATTTTGTTTATCCTTGAATTTTATACAAAAGTTTTTTTAATGTTTATTTTATTTTATTATAACTGTTCTGAATATTTAATTTAAAATCTGTTTCAATATATAAATTCTGTTCTACATTATTCTAAACTGTTAAACAATGATTCAAAGCTGAGGATGGTCAAATTTTGACAAAATATTTCTTTTATTTAACAAGAAACTCATTCTTTATTATAAATAAATGTGAAGCAATATTAAATTAAACTTGTCTCATGTTTTTTTGTATTTATAACTTTTATTTATATTAGAGTACTATTATTTATTCACATACAATATATATTATCATTAAACTAAGTTAACTTCATTTAATTCTTTTTAAATTATACAGTTCTTGAATTCCTGTAAAATTATTTGTCATTATTTCTATACTTATATCTTGAATACTTTTATACTTTCTTAGAAAAATTTTACTGTTGCATATCATGTCAATTTGATTTCAAATTGTAAAGTTAACTGTAAACATTTCTTTGTCTAATAATTGTCATTAATTCATTTTTATAATTTAGAACTTAACCCTTTTAAAAAATCTCAATAAAATTGAAATCTGAAATCTAAATTTAAGAAATTATTTTAAATTTTATGCAGAAACATCCTGTAAAGCAAATAATAGTTAATATACATGATGGCACAAAAGTCAATTAGACAAGATATATTTTAAAGACTATTTTAAGGATGATTAAAACTATCTTACATCAGCCGATTATCATCATTCATAATTCAGGTCTTCATCAAAAACCACTGAATTGCTAACAATAACATACAATGATACAACTGTTTCAAACCAGTTATAATCATCCTTAAAATAATTCAAAAAATATTTCTGTTAATTAACAGAGTTTGGGCCACATTTATATAATACTAACAACTTTAGTCCTCCCTGTAAATAAATTTTTCCATAAAAATCTTCAATAAATGCTCCTCAAAACTAGTGACATTCATATTATTGGCTTGAATTTGCATTGAATTTGCTTTGCGATTCCATTGATTTATATTAGGTAACTCACTTTTTGACTTGGAACAAAACTTGAACACGAAATGGTCTGATCTTTGACTCGTACTTCCAATTCTATCTTCAAAACCTACAGGAGGGCACATAATCACTAGAATCATTTAACTCAATTTTTATCTTCGTCAGTAAAAGATCACTTGCACTTATATCACCGTCACTTGCCACAAACATTGATACTTTTTGTTTCTTCTTTTTATTTCAAAATGTAAAATGTTTGACAGAGGACGATGCATAAGGTCAAATATATTTTTCAATTTAATAAAAACTAATTAATATATCTATATATATAACTAGCAAATTCTTATAAATTGGAAATAAGACAAGATTATACAAATAAGATTATTTAAAACTATATAAATGGCATTTTTCACAATAAAAATTAAAATATTTTGTTCACATAATTATATGGCACTAATCAGGTTAATTAAATACATATAATGAAAAAGAAATACTTCTATACATCTTTTATTAAATAAAATAAAGAATATTTGGTTGAAATTATTGCTTAGACCATTTTTAAAATGTATATATATATATATATATATATATACATTTTAAAAATGGTCTAAGCAATAATTTCAACCAAATATTCTTTATTTTATTTAATAAAAGATGTATAGAAGTATTTCTTTTTCATTATATGTATTTAATTAACCTGATTAGTGCCATATAATTATGTGAACAAAATATTTTAATTTTTATTGTGAAAAATGCCATTTATATAGTTTTAAATAATCTTATTTGTATAATCTTGTCTTATTTCCAATTTATAAGAATTTGCTAGTCATATATATANATTATAATATTAAATGTAAATGAAGAAAAATTCAGTTTTTATTGAATAATTACATTTTAACAGATGATTATTATTATAAATACTGTTAATCCTTGATATGATAGACATATACAGAAAAACAACAGTCCAATAATGCCAATGATCTGAGTATCTGAGGACGTCACAGTCAGTTATAGAACGAACTTATAAGATTATATAAGAGAAACAATCTATATTATGAAAAATAGAAGGGAAACAAATTAAATACTTCCATTAAAAAATGTAAACAATACAGAGTCCCCCATCAATTTTCCAATATCTTATGGACCAGCACCTCTTTTAATCTAGACAGAATTATGAGAGCACTTCAAATTCTCATGACTGCCAGACTAGTTCACTGAATGGTCACAAATGGCATTGCACATAGACTACATTCATTTGGATCGTCTACGTTGCAGCTGTTGATATCAATTTTTAATTTATTTTATTTATTATACATTGAAGCCATTGGCTTTGGCTTCTCAAAAACTATCAATGATATCAAAGGAAAACACCAATCCATATTTAATATATATGCTTAATCTCAACTTTATAGCAGTCCATAACACCTTAGAGACATGAGAAGTATATAATTCATAGTCTAGGATGAATTGTTGAGTTATTGTTATATGACAGACATGGGCAAATGCGGCTCTTTTTGAGTTACATGAGGCTCTTGCTAAAAAGTGTTAATTTCTGCTTTTAATTATTATTTTTACAATTTTATTTCCACAATTTTGTGAAAATATGTTTATTAAAAAAATTCAATATCTGCTTTGCAAACTGTTCTTTTATGTGATGCCTAAAGATGATTAATTGGCCAAAAATATTACATTCTAATCTATTAATTTTCTAGCTGAGTTTATAAGTTCTATACTAATGGCATTGTTCTATATTTAGAATGTATTTTACAAAAATATTTGCATGTTTTCTCCCTCTAGTGCTTCAATTAAACAGTTTGTTTGTTTATGTTTATTTTTTGAAGTGTTGATTGTTATATATTGTAATTATTTTTCAAATATATTTATATTATAAACTAATTACATTTGTTTCAATCTCTTCATTTTTTGGTTCAACTCGTTTCTCTGCATCTAAAATCCTCTCTATTGGCATATCACTTTGCGTACTACTTGTACTTTCAACTTCATTTTCATATTTTTCCTTGTTGCGCTGTCTTTCTTCTTGAACAGCTAAAACCAATTTAAAAAACATTCTAACATTAATATTTACTTCATAATTAAAAGTAATTTTCAATTGAACCTAAACAGAAATTAAGTAATATTTCAAAAGAATATACAAAAGTATATAATACCATTAAGAACATATAATCAATCAAAAATGTTTCATAATCTGTTTCCATTTAAATGATTTATCTTTTTTGGAAATCTTACACATGATATATTCTATATACTGTTTATTTAACTATATCAAAACATGCATCTAAAAGCTGGATTATTTTCAGGCTGAAAATAAACTAATTAAGCTGTCTTGTGCTAAGGTCAATAATTATAAATTTTTGAAACACAACAAAAAAAAAAAGAATATTTTACTTATTTATTAAAAAGATTCTGGAAAAAAAATCAACACAGAACAAGACTCATTTTGCTAATCATGCATATATCCATTTAATTAGTTTATTCTAGCCTGAAAGTAACTTGGATTCTATTAATATTAGGTTTTTGTGTAATGCAATGGTTTTCATATGGACATATTGAGAACCTTTACATTAAACTATAGTGGTGTAAGATTATGCAAGTCCTAGGCAAATTTGGACTCATAAGAGCTATTTTATATAAGTTTACTAGGAATGGAGCTCCTCACTGTGATCCATTCTCAGCATTTCATATTGTTTTGCAACATTCTCAACATCAGTACTATTTAACCAAGGCTGTGGAGTCGGTAAAAAAGCACTCGACTCTGACTCCTGATAATTTTAGTAGACCAACTCTGACTCTGGCAAAAATTAAATACCAAGTCATTTTATGGGGGGCAGAAGCACTCATAAGGGTATTCTACTCTAAACTCTAAAAGGAGNACATGACCGTAATTAGTTTGATAAAACTGTTAATCTGGCAAACCTCTGAACTAGACATACCAGAAAATCAGTATTAGTTGTATCTGCACACATACTACCTAGCAGATATTTTAGGCATTAACAGCTGAAGTTTAATCTTTCCATTCTGACATATATCTTTGAACAAGAAAATTTGCTCCGTTGTTCCTGAAATCTGTTATTTCAGTCCATAAAATCAAGGGTCAACAGTATACAAAAAAATATCTCACTATATATAATTATTTAATTAAATTATCATATATTTTATTTCTTATGTTAAGCTGAAAAAATGTTTTTAAATATAAAAGTTAATTTATAATGATATTAACTTAATGTCTAAACAAACTGTATTGTTGAGTAAATATGATACTTTAATCCAGTAAAGTTTGTAAATTAAATTATGTAAAATGAAACAAGCTCTTAATGAAAAATAAATAAATAAAACAGTTCCTCTACATCTTTCTCAAAAACCTTTAAAAATAATGCTGATGCTGTTGCAGTGCTTTTGTTTAATATGGTTTAATAACTGTTTACTGGATTCAAATGTAAATACAAGTTTCTTAATATTTTTGGACCTCTTAATTCTATTTTAATTAATGAATAAAAGAGGTCTGACAATACATAGAAGCTTACGTTTATTTTAATATTTGGCTCCAATAACACAATGTTTTTCCTGTGTTTAGTTTAACTTTTGAAGTGTTAATGAGTAATTTGACTTTAATTCCATTATTAAAGAATTAAAAAACTTCTGAAAAATTTTATTCATAATCAATAAAAATAAAAACAATATATAACACTCAAAATTATGATTTTTATTAATTTTTTTTAATAATCTTTCTAGTTTTACCTTCTCGTTTCATTCCCATAGCCAAGCATTTTTGATAGCGACAATACTGACAACGATTTCTTTGTCTCTTATCTATAACACAATTACGATCTTCTCTACAAGCATAAGACAAATCTTTACGAACAGTTCTTTTGAAGAATCCTTTGCATCCTTCACAACTAATTTTTTAAAAAAATTTCTAAATTAAACAATTCATTTAAAATCTGACTTATTAAAATTATTAAATTTTAAAATTTATATTATTCAAGAAATTTAAACAGTAAATATTTATTTATTTATTCATGCATTATATAAAATTATAAATATCATTATTAAATGTTATTTAAATAGTTATATATTTTATAAATTATTAATTAAGATAAATAAAAACAAATTTTTCAAAAATCTGTGGTTCATTAAAATTATACACAGGTAGTCTCCATTAACTTTTGGACATAATATGGTACTAAACCTTGCATGAAAGTCAAATGATCTGAAATCAAGCAATATAACTGCATGTTATAAAAATAAATAGTGCTTTACTCAGAACCAGCATTACCTATTAATACAGTCTGCAGCTGAAGAGGGGTCTGGACCCAAAATGGATACTATTGAATAACTATCTGAAGAAATTTGAATTGTCAATCTACTTAAATATGTTCCTGTATAATATGTCCTTAAATTATCAAACTATATGATTTAAAAATACAAGAACTTCAACTAAATTATAAAAGGAGTTTCATTCCATAGAGATATACAAACAAAATCTTTCTTTAATGTAGGAAAGTCTTTACTTTTTTTACAGTGAATATGTGTATTGTGTTAAACAGAAAACAGTAAAAATTAATATTCACAAATGATTTTGCTATTACCAAAATTAGCAGAAAATGTTAGACTCTAAATTTTTATTTGTCAGCTGAAAATGTTTGATAATTTGAATTTGGTATAAAAAAGCAATTTAGAAGTATTAAAATGTTATTTACAGTACAAAGGAACAAGTTGTCCAAAAGTCAAAGACTGCCTTTATTACATTAGAGTTGAGTGTTAATAAAAGTTATTAATACTGTTGACCCTCAATGTAATATGTAATAAAGAGAAGTGGCAGTCTAATAATGCTAATTATTTGTTATATCTGAAATCGTGTCAAATTACAAAATGAACTTTATATCAGACAAAAGTCAAAAATAACTAAAATAACTTATACTAGGACAAATACAAGGGAAATAAATACCACACTTCCAAACAGAAATAAACAATAGCTGCCAATGCACTGTCTAGCTCAGTAGTAAGCATCATGCTTTGTATTGATGATGCTTACTACTCATACTGTTACAGTGGTGTTTTCATCTTTATATTATATAGCTTTAGGCATAGTTTTAAGTTTACCTTTACCTCGTATAATTTTTAATATGCCATTACCTTTAGTTAATACCAACTGATGAGGGACTATTTTCTATTGGAAAAATAGTCCAAAATTTAATTTAGGTTTTTCATTTCCATACTTATGTAGTCATTTTTTTGTGTTTATTAAATGTTTTCACTTTGATCCCTGAGCATTTGTGCCCATCATTGGTCTGATAAGCCCTCACTATTATCTGCTTCACAGTTGTGGATAATTTAATTAATATAATAATACCAAAGGCTAGAAACAACTTTTGTTATAATTTCATTACTTATTTTATCTTAACTGTAGATTGCACAAAAACTTGAAAGACCTGCAAACACTTCTGGTAGGTCCTCAAAACAGATTCTTGTAACTGTAGATTGGGGCAACCAGAAAGTCTCTAGTTGGCCACAATTGCTCCTTACATCCTTCTAATATAGCAAAATTGAAAAAAACAAGAGGGAATAGGCTATGTCATGGATGCATATGTATCTGTTCTTGTCTCCTTTTTTTTAATGGAAATATGAATCATCACTGGTTAAATGCAACTTTTGGTAAACAATGGGAGTCTTTTAAGGGTTTATGAGCTAGTAGTGACTCCCAGTTATAACATAAACCTCAAATATTACCTGACAAAAACATTTTCAGATAATATACTTTTTGATTAATTTAATCAGACAATATAGAATTATAATTAACATGTTCAATGTCTTCTATGTTAATAAAGCATCACGTTTAATAATAGTTTGAGCAGAATTAGCAGCTATTACTGCTGCTAAGCTCCATTATTATTACTACTACTAGGCAGGACCTTCCATTCATTCAAATTATTGTTAATTAATAACTTATGCAACAAAATTGCAATTCCCTTATTTAAACTTTCATATTCCTTCCTCTACTAAAAATCTATCTTTTCATCAGTCTTCCATACTTTATTTTTTTTTTAATATGCATCTAAATTTTCAAAAATCAAAACTCTTTTATATATATAATATTATACATTCAAACAACTCAAATGATTCAATAACTTTCTTAATATATCCAGCAAATAAATAATTGGTAAAATAATATTGTATTATTTATTACATATTCTTTTATTGTAAAAATCTTTAGAACTTGGCATCATATTTTAAAGTTGTAATGAACAATAAAAGTACAGCTAAATTAAAGCAACCACAAACTTTAATAAGTGACACACATTATTCTTTATTGACAAACTTGATATTTACAGGAAAAAATAAAAGACTAAAACTTTTCCTGTTTATAAATTTTAATAATTTTTTAACATTTTATTTATAAATTACTTAAGTACAATGCTGCATATTGTCATAATTATAGATGTTACTTCCTAAACAATGACTAATGAACGTAAACATCCGTTGAAAGTGGAAATTTGGACCTAGTAACTAGTGAGGAGAGAGCAATGTATTAACAAACTCTGCTGCCAAATTGGCAATTATTAGATTTCCATTTAGTATAACTATTTAGAAACATAGTTTCAATTTTATATACATAGTTTTAAAGAACTTTTTTAAAAAGATTTAAATTAGTAATAATGTTTCCAAAGAAATACATGTAAAAAGTATCTACTTACAGCTAAATATATAAATTAGCAATTACAGAATTAAAAAAAAAATTAAAAAGGTTAGGTTTGATGATAATCAATTAAAGATATAATTTTGTTTAATTTTTATAATAAAAGTAGTTAAAATAACAATTTAACAAATGTTTAATCTAAACAAATACTATTGTACAAAATCAGAAGTCCATTTAAATGTAGACAAAATTACTTATTCACAATGAAGATAAACTTTCTTAACATTGTTACTTTAGCAACTTTATTATAATTTATATTGTGTAACATTTTAGTAGTTGAGCAGTTGTTTAATTTGAAAGAGTTTTAATGATTCAAAACATGGAGTGATTGTTCCCATAGAACCATTTAACATTATCACAAATCTAAGCTTTCAGTTTATGAAAAAGCTATAGTTTTGTGCAAATGGATTTACATAAATATTGCAGTTTGATGCCAAGAAATCATCCAGAAAACTTATATCCATAGAAATTCCTAAGATTTCAATGGTAGTTGTTGGCTGGCAATTTTTAAAATGCAGATTTATATATTCCTATTGTCAGCTGTCTTTCTTTTGCTAATTTTGAAAATGGCATTAGATAGATGAAAATCAAAACCAGACATGGAAAGCTAAAGGGCCAGAGACCCCAATTAACTATATATGAACATACCAGAAGTCACATGATTTCAACTCACAATTTTCTTGATAATAGAGTTAAATAAATTAATCTTTAATATATATATATATATTTAGCTACAAAAAGTAAATAAATAAACAAAATTGGTTCAGATTAAACATAATTTGAATTAGTGAGAGTACTGTATTTAATTTGCAGAATGAACTTTTTAAGTGAAAATGCATTTAGTTCTACATTCCTGCTAATTCAATATATTAAATCGAAACTGAATAGCTATAATTGCAATTAGGGGCCGTCCATAAATTACGTAAGGGCAATTTCAGCCATTCTAGATCCCCACCCACCCCTGTGTAAGAAACCGTAATATTTTCTTTGATCCCCTTCCCTATCTTACATAATATTTTGGCATAAAATCCACCACAGAAAGATTAACCCTTTCACGTCAAGATGGTGGACGTGGCCTGATTGACATAGTAAATCTTCAATACAAACAAATACAGACACTGCGAGAGTTTTTCTACAGGAACAAGAAACATCACAATTACATAAAGCAGTAACTCTAGCAGACTCAAATAGCACACCATTAAACTTACAACACACAGACATGACACAACACATAAAAAGCATAGACACCATCAAGCAATCGTGGGCTCAAAAGGCACTCCATGGCAGGCATCCTTACGACCTGGCCCAGGATTTTGTTGACAAAACTGCGTCAAACAGCTGGTTAGATCGGGGATGCCTCTTTGGGGAAACGGAAGGATTCATGATTGCCATACAGGATCAGGTCATAAATACTAAAAACTACAGAAAACACATACTCAAAGATACAACACTCACAAATGACAC